CCCCCCCCCCTTTTTTTTGTTCCCTTTTAAGTTCATATTGCTTCATATTTTTCATCTGTAGTTTTCAGGAACTTTTCAGATTGTGAACAGACTGTGGTTTGTAGCTGTGAAGAGGAATTCAGACATCCCGCGTTCTTTCCCTGGCCCTTAGCAAGAGTATATCTGGCTGATAAGAAACAGAACTGGAGGCAGATTAATTAATTTCCTGCTTGCAAGAAGAACTGTAGTCAAAAAATTCACAGTGTTTTCACAACTCATACATGAGCAACCCAAAACAGTCAATTATGAAATCTTGAATTTTTTTCCATGGCTTCTCTATCTTGAAAACTCAGTTAATTTCACCTACTTCCCAGAAATGTTGGGAGGCTTTAAATGTTGTGCTTTGTGTCATGGTATATCACCCACTGGTCCTGTTAAGACCTTGAAAGAAGTGATGGGAATGAAGCATGAATGTGTTGGTAGAGTGTGTATACGGAGAATTTGGAGGCTGAGAATGAAAATCAGCTCTTAGGGTTGAGGTTGTATGGTTTGGGTTACCTGTAGCTATGAGACCTTTTCCTTTAAGACTGAAAACTTCTGAGCATGATCTCTTCTCTGATAAAACCCTCTTGCACTCTGTCAAAGGTTAAAAGCACAAGATGGTGATGGAGAAGAATATTACCAGGAGAAGATGAGGAGAAGATACAGTTTTGGGGAGGGCGAGTTGAGGGTTGGCCAAGTTTATAGGCAGCTTGAATGTAGGGGGGAAGGACGCGGCACGTCATCAATGTGGATAAGGAATAAGCCAGCAGGTGGAAGGAGAGGCCGGTTCTAAAATTACTGTGTCAACTACAGAAACCAAATTTAACTACACCGGTATTGCCCTTCCAGCTCCCCTCTGGTACCTGCTGGTGTTTGTGATCTCCATGCAAATGTCTTATTTACCAGGAGAGCTGCCTGAAAACTTTTCAAATTTTTGGTGTTTTTTCATAAAACAGGGTTTCAGGATGAAAAGAATTTCAGATTTTCAAGTGGGAATCACTTTTCTTGTAGAAACTTGAGACATTTACATTAAAAGATAGGAAATTTATGTTAGAATTTAAAGAAAATGTTTCAGAATGATGAAAAATATGTTTTGATCCTATCAAATACAAATGTTTCTAGCTTATTCAGCTGTAAAATGTGTTAAGAATTACTGTTGCAGCAGCGAGTTTTTTCTAAATCACAAAAATGATTGGACTACACAAAGAAAGCTTCCTCTTGTGCCAGAAGAGGTGTCTCGTTGTCCAGTTCTGAAAGTTAGCTCTGTCAGAGGGAGATTTCCTGTTATCCCAGAGAATTGTAAACTTGAGCCGAAGTTTTGTTATAATTAGAAAAAGTGAGCTTTTTTGTTGGAGCCAGCGAAAGCGTATGGCAGTCAGTGGCTTGCTAAAAGGATAGTGTTTAGTTACGTGCCGAGAGAAGGATCATAGTGGCTCTTGTGTGGTCTCTTCTTCATTAATTGGTGTCTCAGTTTCTTGCATCAACAGAAGAATGGGCAGTTCAAGTATACACCGTTTCTTAATTTTATATCTTTTGTCATTTCTTCCATAAAGTTAGGCATTGTCTAGCAGTTTTGTGACCACAGATGATTGAGATCCATAATATCACATGATAGCAGGGTTTCACCTTCTGGTTTTAGCACATCACCATGTGGATCCATCAGATTTTCTAATTTTGTGGGCTGCTTTCGTGGCGTTTGTTCTTGACTTTTGGCAAGTATCTATAAACAAAATAATGCTCAGCAAAGGGAGTCCATAAAATAGCTGCTATGGCTACCAAAATTTGCTGAGTTAATTCTTGTATACATAGTGATGACCTGGATTCCTGATTACGACTCCAGGTCATACGATGTATTCATGTCAATAATAGTACAGCAGTTTTCAGCTGTGGTGTCTTGACGTTCATTTATCTCGTGGCACTTACAAGAGGAAATAGTTCTTGGCTCTGGGCAGAGAGTGGAGTGCTCCATTTTGTAGGTGGGAGAGCTGAGACGCTGTCATGAGGCAGTTGGACTGGGACGCTGAGCTGCTGCTTCCATCACTAACTGCTAGAAAAAGCATTTTCTGGTCCGTTTTCCAAGCTCTCCGTTCTCAAAAAAAACTTTGTACAGAACACTAGCCCTTTGAACAGAAATCTGCAAGTTAAGACACACATACCACTTTAAGGGATATTATAATAGAAAGGATGATATGTCTGGAAGAGGAAAGAATATATTTTTAAAAATACCGTCCCCAGAGACTGGGGGTACTGCTGCAAGCGGGAAGGAAAGTAAATGTCTTGCTGATAATTCAGGAGCGTTCCTACTGGTGCCAGTGCCGGAGTTGACAGTGCTACATACTTGAGGCTTCCCAGAAATAAGTGTAACCAGGTGTCCTCCTCTGCAGATCTAATGGCAAAATCTCAGTTTTCGAGTAGGATCAGGCATGGTGGGAATTGCAGTTATGGTCAGTCTCTCCAGATTTACTTCATAAGAGCAACTCAGAGGTCCAGGAAAGAAGTAGTGGATGTTTACTTGTAAATGTGATTGCCTCCGAAGCCCAAATTGGTAGTATAGATATAGTCTACCCTTCATTTAGTGAAGATGCCGCTATTTCTGTGGCTTCATTTGCTCTCTAAACTAGCAAATCAAGTGGAAGTACATTAACAGGGCAACTAGCTGTGCTAATGCGTGGTTTCTCTTAGTCAACGAGCAGTAACTTTGGAACAGGACTCCGTTTGTGGGCATGGCTGCAACAGTAGGTAACACTGGGAACAATGGGATGAAGAAGTAGTAGCTAAAATTCAAACTGAATGTTCAAAATTTGTATTTACAGTGAATTGATCTAAACTGGAAGAGAAATAGTGAGATCTGCATTAGTACCACTTATTCAAAAGAAGGTTGGACAGAAACAATTGCTGTATGGAACGGAATCCAGGTTTCCATAAAAAGGAACTGTGCTGTGGTCGATACACTGGAGGAGAAATAGGACCATGGAAAATAATAATTACCCAAAGACGCCTAACTCTCCTACTACCAAATGATCTACAATTAAAGGAAATACCTTATTTTCAAATACAGCGCAGCTGTCCAACAGCTGAACCTGCTGCTGATCAAAGTTGATCAAAGAATTCTTAGGATTATATATTAGGGACAATCTACAGAAAAAGTGTAGTAGTCCCTGCTTATGGCATGCTTATCAGAGCCCATTGAAGTAAACAGGACTTTTTGTTGGTTTTAATGCAAATCTGCTAAGCTCTGTAGAATGTAAATCAGTTCATTAAAATTTGTAAAGCACTTAAATGAAGTAAAAGAGAAAACAGTTTAACTTTTATAGGATGTTTACTGCATATAAAGTGCAATAAGATCACAATTATTCAGGAAAAAATACTGTTAAAATATGCTATACTCAATATGTTGTTTTGGGGAAGATTTAAAATTTTTAAATTGTGATTTTAAAAAGAAAATCAGTCTGACTCTAGAAATTTTACTGTATTACTGTGTAATTTTGTCTGTACGATCTTCATACCATATCTGTCTAAAGTATGCAATATTTGTGTGTGTTTGTGCATGACATATATACAAGTATGAATGTATATGTGTATATATTAACCCAGGGATCAAAATAAATATTGAACAGCTCTTTCCATTGTAGGACGCTGCCTAAGCTGGGGGTATATCAGGGAAAAAAAAAAAGCAAATTATAACAAAAAAAGACAGAGGTGTGGCCTTATGATGTCTTCTGACACGATGCTTCACTTGACGGTCTGAACTCTGATATTCATGGCATTGCCTACTTTTGTTGTATCTCCTAGTACAGTATTCTGAGTGCTGAGGTGACACTGCAAATGATGAGACAATATTCATTTTTCTGAGGCGTTTGGGAAGTTTTATCCACTCTTATGCATATACAGGTTTACACAAAATTCACTGCGTCTGTGTTATCTCTGTAAGAGTGCATAAACTAGCAGTTGACACCTTTTAATGAAGCTGCTTTGGAGCCTTCATGCTCTGATTTCTGAAAAAAACCTTTTTTTTTTTTCCCCCCTTGCAGTTACTTCAATGAGAATCAATATCCAGACGAGGCAAAGAGAGAAGAAATTGCAAACGCTTGTAATGCAGTTATACAAAAGCCAGGTGAGGAGCTGATCTTGGTGTCCTTTCCAAAGGCAATTGCAATTAGATTTCAACATCTCCTGCTAAATTCAGCAAATCTCATTTTATGGCTATTACTAACAAATGTAGTGCTCTCAACTAGTGGTAGGTTTCTTCTTGAGCTTTCTATAACTGGTGGTGTTCAGAGCTGCCATACTTGGATGAACATGACAGTCAGTGCAATTTTCAAACCTAAATGCCAGTGTCGGAAATTTAAACTCCCACCAGCTGAGATATGAAGTACAAGTTGTGCATCTGAACGTTTCACTTACCTAGCTTTGTAAATGGCATGGCTAAGAAAATAAACGTGTCTGAAAGGTTTTCATTATAAACAAGTCTGAAAGGGTTTCATTCTTTACGTTCAGTTCTTTCAAAGGACTTCTGTAAGCGCTCGGTAGTGATCTGAGAATTTTATTACACTCCACGAAAGTGGGTTTTACTGGTTCTGTTCTGCAGATGGGAAGTGTTAGGTTCACAGACCCAGGCTTGCTGGAGACCACGCGGCAGGTCCTCGGAGAATTAAGGAGCACAGCTTTCCTGTCGTTCAGTTTTCTTTACAGCTTCTAGACAGGGGTCTCGTACTAGAATCTGTGTATTGATGGAGGACCTTGTGTTTGGGTCAATAAGCTGCATTTTCCCTGTTCCTGGAGGAGTCATACTTGGGAGAGGAGCAGGAATATTCAGTATAGTATTAGTGGACGCACCCACCTTTGCTTAGTTTTGCTAACCAAATATTTATGTAGTTTTCAGAACTTGTATTTTGGATATATTTAGATTTTATATAACCAGAATCAAAATTAATGTAAAAGAAAGCTAAGGCATGACTCCTGAACATGGGGACAGTCACAGGATAGCGCAGAATCAGAGCAATTTAGGCTGGAAGTGACGGCTGGAGATCACCTGGTCAGGCAAGACCAGCTTCGATTAAGTTGCTCAGGGCTTTACCTCATTCAGTTTTGAATATCTCCAAAACCAGAGGTTTTCCCACCTCTGGACCCCTGTTCCACAATGCTGAGCACTCTCATGGCAAACTACTTTTTCCGAATACCTGGTCAAAATTTCCCTTGTTGCAACTTTTATGTGTTGCCTCTTGTCTCTTCGTTGTGGAAGCAGAATGATCCAGTGGGTAGAGCACCGAGGAGGTTAGGACGTTATTCCTAGCTGTGCTGCTGGTTGGTTTAGCAACTTTGAACAAACTCCTTAAACACTGTGTCTCAGGATCGGTGAAATACTGTGAGTGGTACTGATGCAAAGCATTAGGAAACAGCGTAGCCATCTGTTTCCAGATTTTTCTTTCTTTCGCTTGTCTCGTCTCTCCTTACTTACTTAACTTTGCTGATTGCTGCAATTACATAAATGGTTTGTATGCTGAATAAATAAACTTTGAGAAACAGCCTGAAGCAGGGGAGTCTCATCCCCACGTAGCCTGCAGAGGACTGAGGATGCAGCTGCATTGAACAGGGTCAAGGCCAGCTGAAGAGGTTTCCGTGCTGTCCCTGTAATACTGAATCCCTCCAGTCTTCCCTCTTTTCCACCGGTGATCAGAAGGGATTGTCTCCCGTAGCTGGCCGGTGGTTGTTGGGATTTTTTTTGCTGGTTTAAGTGTAAAATTCCCGACATCCCCTTCTTCTCCCAAAAGATCGCAAGCGTCCTGGCACGATTGAGAGGGTGTGATTAGTGCTGCGGGAGCATGATAGGAGCTGGTGGTGGAGAGGAAGGAAAGCAGATTGGAGGGGAGACACAAAATCTCTTCATTCATTTTGCTGCTGAAGAAAACATGGCATTGAACTATATCCTCGCAGCACATAGTAAGAGAACTAGCCCAAGGGTATGCAACTTGTGGCAGGGCTGTGAATTGAATTGGAGTTTTTTGGATCTCAGTTTTGTGCTTGAACTAGAAAAGCAGCTCGCTCTCCTCCTGCGGCTCTGGATTTAGTTGATTGAAACTGCAAAGAAATTCCTGTATTTCAGATTTTAAGAAAAGAAGAAAGGCTACTTTGTTCTTAGAGAGCTATTTGGCATTTATTACCATAGCATCTGGGCACAGTACTTTGATTCACAAGAAATTAACTTCATTCTCAGTTATAACAACTTCTCGGTGCTGTCTCTATTTCAGGGGTTTATCACATGAGTAAGGGTCTTTTGCCTACCTGTGGAACCCAGCAAGTAACAATGCTGTATTTTTTTTTTTCCCCCCGTTACTTTCATAGGAAAAAAGTTATCGGATTTGGAGCGAGTTACTTCCCTTAAAGTGTACAATTGGTTTGCCAACAGAAGAAAGGAAATCAAGAGAAGAGCCAATATCGGTAATGTATCAGAGAGCCTGCTTTCAAGGTTTAGTACGTACGCTTGCTCAGGAGAGATGGAAAATACATAAGATTGTATTAATGAAAATACTAGAGGTTCTGACGCTCTTAATAGAAACGTGGAGCAATTTTTAAAATCAGTTTCTTGCTATTCCAGATTTTTTCTAAAATATGGGTAAGAATTTAATTTATGGAATTCCACCATCAGTGCAGGAAAAATGATGCAGTTATGAAGTTTTACTGGAAGATCAGTTTTAAAAACCAAAGCGAAAATTCTGCTGGCACAAGGAGAATCGTATTTCCCTATGCTCAGGCTCCTTTGGGTATCCAAAATAAAATCTAAAATAAAACCTCAAAATATCTGCATTGGATATAAGGGAAATTGAGATGATTGCAAGTTCACAACCTTAGCATGCCGTTTAAATGAAAAGTGGCTGTTGTGAAGAGCTTTTATCTGGTTGTACGTTTCCTTGTGTCTGTGTTCCACTGAAACATGCTTGTTCTTTCAGCCAAAACCTGGGGGGGTCTCTCCTACTGCCATCCCTGAGACCCCACAGGGATCTGAGGGTTCAGATGAGTTGGTTTATATCTCAGACACAGCCTCTAGGACCAAAGGCGCTGCAAGCCAGCTTCTCATTCTGGTTACACCTGTGCTCCTTATTGCATTCCAACGGGTTGCGCAGTGACAAGTGGCTGGAACAAAGTCATAATTTTTCTTGATGATCGGGATAAAACAAAAGTCGCTTCAGAGTTGGCCCTGCAGGTTTTGAGTGATGAGTAGCTGATCATAAGGAAATTAGAAGTGATCTGCTTCTTTTTGCCATATTTGTGAATAAGAAAAATTTCTTTTTACAGCATTTGGTGTGTTACTGAAATGTAACCTAAATTTATTTCTTTTAAAAATGAAACCTGTTGGAGGGCTGGGGGGGGAACAAAGCAAAGTTAGTCCAAGGTGGGTGGAGTTATAGTTGTATCTGACCTGCACTGGGAGGAGGGTTGGAAGGAGATTTAAAAGAACCAAAGGGAGCTTTAGATGCATGGATCCTGCTGGAAGATGGGTGTGTTTTTAGATCACTTAAGTGCTTTAAAAAATGTCTCCATCTACTTTCAGAGACTCCCCGCCCCCTTCAAGTCCTGCCAGTCCAAACTATGTGGGAAGATCTACAGGGAATGCCTTTGCCACTCCAGTGCATTAGAAATTAAGCTAATTTCTAATAGGACTAGCTAGGAAACAAGGATTCTTACTCGCACACAAGTCTGTTAGTTGGCAGGAAAGGATTTCAGGCAAACCAGTATCTGTACATGTCCTACCTTCCCAAATACTGGAGAGTGATGAGGAAGAGGCTAAGAACTAACTCTGTTCTTCCAGTTATTCTAACTTCTTGGGGAGGGGAAAAAAAAAGTAGTTACTTTTAATTACTGTAATGCATCAGATAAATTAGGGATCCATTTGCTTTTTTCGAAGAAGCAGCAATCCTGGAGAGCCATGGAATAGATGTACAGAGTCCGGGAGGTCATTCCAACAGTGACGACGTCGATGGCAATGACTACTCAGAGCAGGTAAGCATCGTGGCCGAGCCTCGTGGCCCAAAAAGGGAGAATTCACGCCACACATGAAGAGGCCCTCTACCTCTCGCAAATCAGATGTCTCTTGTTTTTGTTTTGCTTTTATGTAATTGTAATGGGGAAAGTGGAAGAGCACAGCTCCCCTATTTGAATGTGTTGAGCAACCAGTGTTCACCCACATGGATTTATTGTCATACAACAGGACACTTGGCAAGTACGCAATGGGGAGGAGGAGGGAAGATGTTCAGAGGGAGGCAGAGAAGCAGAGAAGGTAGAAGAAGACAGGAGGATCTGCTCCAAACAAGCAAGTTACACCATTCACGCCACACGCAATGTATGAAAAATGTTAGGAGAGTGTTAACTCACCCAGTGCACCATGCATAACTTGCGCTCTCCTTACCCATGGCACCGTTCTAGTTATCCACCCTCAAGAAAGGATGTGCAGGTCTTTAACAGTTGCTCCTCTGTGTTAGGCACCAACATGCTTCCCTGAAAAACTAGGCATGTGTGTTCCTCTTACACCTATTCTTTCTTTCTGCAAGCGATAGCTCCATTATAACCTGTGCTACAGCTACTGTGAGTTGCTCACCTGGCACCCAGACAAGTACGGCAGTAAGCCCTTGCCCAGTCCACTGTATAATCCCTTTTGTCAACCTTGCCCAGCAAGACACTGAGCACCCTCCTGTAAGGTGCTGAGCTCCCTCTGTTTGTCTGTGGGAGCACCTTTCAGGAGCGTCTCAGGATCAGTCCCTAAGACACTGACAGACAAAGGGTGAAGGGTGGGGGGAAAGGATTTGATTAAAATAAAGTTTGACGTTTATTTGGCCCCATACCTGTTCCGTATTGTTCTGCAACGATGTGCCACTATTCGGATTGTTTACATATTATCTGTCTTTTTCTTTTTTTTCTTTTTGCATTTTAATTCTTGCCTATTCTCTATTTTTCTTGGTTATTTTTAACCCTTGACAGCAACTTCTTTTTTAAATTCTCTAGCAAAAGAATACCCCTTCCCGCACTCTGAGCCCTCACCTACCCTAAAGTTGGTGACCCTTCCTTCACACACCTTCCTGACAGGTATTGCATCCCCTTCCCAATTTTCCTTCAGGTGTCAGTGTTGGCCAAAACCCCCCAGGGCTGTGTGTGCTTGGCACCAGTGGACTTGAACAGTTCACTCACTTGGTTCTGGTTTTGATATGAGCTGTGTTCTCTGCTACACCCAACATCTGGGGTGGGCAGATCACTTTTAATTGACTCGTTTGGGAGAAGTACGTAGGTCTCCCTCCATAAAGGCTGCCGGTGGAGTGTAATAGCAACTGAGTGTCCTGGAATGAGTCCCTAGCATACTTGGCTCTAGCCCAGTACGACAGATATCTGGCAGAAGCATTCCCAGCCACTCTGCTTCTGATGGGTATTAAGGCCCTTTTTATAGGTCATCACCAGCAGATTTGGTGGAACCAACTTTGCTAGCTCTAGATGATGAGAGGCTGCTCTGTGACTGTTATAAAATATTTTGAAACTGCTGCCGAGCACAGATAATTCCTTGCCAGTGAGATACAGGACCTGAATACTGAGATGAAGTGTTACGTAGACTCCCGACCTATGTTTTTCTTCTGTGTGTTATCCAAAATACTTTGAAAAGAGAAATAAATTGGTTATTAAAATTTAAAGATCTTTGTTCAGAGTCCTTAAAAATTACATTTCTCAGTAATCTAGCTGGGCTGCTCTATGAAGGGTAATTAGGCATTAGCAGCGAAGTGGATTAAATGGCAAGCTCTCCTGATGACCATTTAACATCCCTTAGCTGTTAAAACCGTAAATTCTGTTTTCCACAGCAACACTTAAACTCTAGTAAACTTTAAAACACAAAGTTCATCCAAATACTAATGAAGTGCCTAAAACTCCAGAAGTCAGGACTTTGTATTTCTTACCATGGTAAAGGTTACTGAGAGGCCCTTAAGAGTGTGTGCACATCACGATATTTGTCTGCCATTTGTTGTAAATGAATGCATTCCTTTAAATAACCTTTGGATTTTACCAAATCCTGGCTTTTCTGTGCCCCTCAGCATTTGCCACGTGTCATCTTAATTTAAAAATGTATAATAACACATTTTAAATCTTAAATTTCACAAGTTCATCACTAAAAGGCTGTTGGAAGACTGATAAATGTTTATCATTTCCTTTCTGTCAATACTTTAAAAACATTGAGAGATCATGGTGTGGTAACTATTAGTACCCCATTTTAAAGAGGAGAAAACACCATGACTTTGCCCAAAATTCCAGAAGAATTTATTTTACAGCTGGGACTACAGTTTGGATATTGCTGGTTCTCCCTCCTGTCATTGAAAACCAGGCCCTATTTCTGATGTAGACTGAGAAACATGCATGACTCACTGTAAAATTTATGCTAGAATTGTCAGACTTTTAGGTCTGATATTGTATAGCCATTACACACCTGTAGAAGGCAGCCCTTGTTCATTGGTTTTAAAATTTTCACCGCAGTCCTGTAGCAGCAGTTTCTCTGTATTAGCTTTGCTTGCCAGCCGTCACAGCCATCAACACAGTGGTCCTCTTACAGCTGAGAGGCTTTGCTCTTTAGAAAATAGATGAAGAAAGATACGGTGTGTAGTTCAGCGGACTGGAGAACCTGGCAGGATTTTCACCTGCATATTTGAATTATGGTGGTTCCAGTCCCCTGAAATCGTTGCACTGTTTTTCTTGGCAGTCTAGGAGGTTTTCAGCATCTTTTCCCTATACCTGTGTGAATTCAGTGTCTTCACAGGATACTGGCTCAGACCAAGGGTTAGTCTAGGTTTATATCCTGTTTCTGAGTGAGGTCAATAGTACTATTTAAGGAAAAAGTATTTTTAACAAACAGGATAATTATAGAAAGATCTTACTATAATAGCTTCCGGTTCCTGGAAGTCAGTAGTTGTGAGAGTCTTCCCGAGCCAGGCTCTGTAGCCACTTTGTTCTTAATTTACTAATTATTTGTAATAAACATTTACCATATCACCAACAGCCATTTCTTTTCCAAGCTGAAGAACCTGAGCCTATTTAGCCTCTCCTCGTAAGGAAGCCACCCCATGCCTCTCTTCCCCTGGGCTGCCATTCTCTCTACCTTTTCTAGTTCTATTGTGTCCTCTTTAAATGGGATGACCAGAACTTTATATTCAAAATGTAAGTGTAGCATGAATTTGTGCAGTGCATAATGATTCCTGTCTTGGTTTGGTTTCCTGATGTACCTTGTGTATCGCTTTTACCTTTATAATTTAATATTTTCCTCAAAATATCCCCTCCCTCAAATTTCTCTCTCAAAAATTGGGTACACTGCTCCTGGCCCCACTTACCTTTGTCTGCACAGTGAGGGAAATCAGTCCTAAATCAATTTTATAAATTCCTTTGACTTTCCACCCCTGTAATGAATGTGCAATTTGCTGCCCCTAGTCCATTACTTTACACACTGGTTTTATCCGCTGGTTTTCTACTTGTGGAGTAACAATGCTTCTCTCTTCTCCTTTCCACATGCACAGGATGACAGCACTAGCCATAGTGACCATCAAGACCCCATTTCATTAGCCGTGGAAATGGCAGCAGTAAACCACACCATCTTGGCATTGGCCCGGCAAGGAGCCAACGAGATCAAGACAGAGGCTCTAGACGACGACTGATACAAAGAAAGGGGAGGGTCAAAGCAAGAAGTAACTTAGTTTTAGACGTAGCACCTTAGCAGACTTTCCTCGGTCCTTAATATGTGTTCTTACAGTATAACTTTGCAGTTTCTTGTACGTCAGTTAGCTGTTAGGGTCTTGTTCTGTGAAGATGGCATGGTGCCCTCAGCCTTTGCATATACTCTCTCAGTATTAATTCCCAATAAATAATCAATCAACCAACCAACCTCCCTCTCCCAGCCCCAGTGGCTAGAAAAATCTTGCTGCTCTGTCTTAGCATTCAAAATGCTTCCAGGTATTTTAGACAGCCCTCAATTACAAGTCTTAGGCTACACTTAAAATCTTGGATACCCTTAGAGATTATGTTAAAAAAATAGTCTGTACGCTTTTCCTTCTCTGAGACTGAAAGGATGCAAGCTGAGGTAGTGGCACAGGGTCGATGGACACCAAATCGGGAGTATCAACAGAGAGTAAAAAGAACACTAGAAACCCCACTTCAGCATGGGAATAAATTATTTCCAGCTGCAATAAGCCGTGCCTCACTGGTCATACAGTGACTTGATATACTTTTGGGTGCTGTGCTGAGAATGTCCATTGGAAACACATTCACATATTTCGGTTGATGTTCACATATTCAACACAGACATCCTCTACTCTCACGAGCTGCGTGGCTTAGTGGATAAGTACTGCCTTCTGCCTCTGGGACCATGATTGAAGCCCAGCCTGGGATCATATGAAAAATGAGCTGAATGTCTAATGGACAACAGTCCACTTCTCAAAACCACTATTCATTATTTGGCATGGCTAGCAGTGCCTGCTCAGAAGAGGTCTAGACTCTATTGATCTGTCATTAACAATTTCACCTTTTATTCTTCCTCTCGCCTTTTCTGTCCCCACCCTACTCCCCTCTCCACTTTGCCACTTTCAAAAGCAATGTTTTCCAGGAAGGTTATTAAGGTCATAAAATGGGTGAGTGGATTTTTACGCATCTGTGTAACTAATGCCTACGTCCTGACTAGCCTGAAAGGTTGTTGGAGAACTTTTGCATCTGACCTTTGCTAGATAACCATCATAGCATAAATATTCTCCCAAATATGAACTTTTTTTGTTTGTTTAAAGGCAGGAGGATCTCTTACCTGAGAAATGGGGTGTGAATGTTTTGTGTTCTCTTTACTCTGTCCTTGTTAAGATGTGAGAAAGCTATACTGCTACGAGCAATTTAATTAATAATTGGAAGCCATACTGATAATGGATGTGGTAATATTTGTAAAGCAAACCTACTTTAAGTAGCAGAAACTAATGGAATTGTTTTCCTTGATCATATGTAGCACTTTTGTTACTTTTTTCTTAAAGATATTTATATTTGATAAGTCTTTTTTTTATCATTTGAGAATTCCAAATACCAAACAGCAAACTTGCATTACAGAGTCACCCTGCGATCACCTTGTCATCTAGTATCTAAATGATGAACTGTGTGTGCATCTAAGAAAATTACATCTGCTGGCATTGTGTGGAAATGATCTCCTGGCATCCTGATAAAATGATATGTTGCTGCCGGTAAGAGGAAACATTTCAATGGAAACAGCACGGGAAGTGTTAGAGACGGGCAGGACTGTGTTACCTTAAAAATAAAAATTAAAAACCTATGTAAATTTTTGTATACAGATTTATAAAAATTTGCATAGTGTTTCCACAACATTCCATTTTTATCTTCCCTGTTTATGTGGGAATAGCTTAAAAAGGGGAAAACAGCTTAGTCTGAAGGATGGGTTTCCCTTTTCTCCCCTCCACTTCTAAAGGTGGAGGGAATGGAGGGAAGTTGCTATTACTCGGCTTGTTCTCATCCCTTCCTCACACTTAACTATCAGATAGTATTGTGAACTCCTAAAACGTGGCTCCTCGGCAGGTTTTTAGCCAGCCTAAACCCCTTTGAGGCGTAGGCTAACTAGGTCATCTTTACATCTGTTAATCTTGTGAAAATTGCTTAGGTAAGTGTGGAGGAGATTTTGTGCTTTCAGAGGGCACAGAGTTGGCACCTCTTTGTCTCTGTAACTTTGAAGATATATAGGTAGGGCTTGGCCTCGTCTTTCATTTATGGATTTCATTGGAAAATTTATGTGCTTTCCTTAGATATAGATCACTGAAGCAGAATGAAGCCGTCTTTTTTTCTGTTTTATTGCGTTTCTTGAGTAGGCAAATTCATAAGTAGCATCAGGGCAGACTCAGGAAAGGAAGGAATTGGATCAGTGACCATTGCACCATTGCAGTTTTTTTCTTAATGTGTGTGTGAATGTTTTGGTACTACGGAGTGAAAGGACGGGGAGAGCTTTTATTTCTATTTTTGCACAGTGGAATGATCGAGCAAACTATAGCCTTAGTGGAATTTTACTTACTTATTCATGCTACAGTCACACACTAAGCTGACAAGCAGCATCCACGATTTATAGTAAAGAGATTTTAATAATCGATGGCCTCTTTACGTTGGGATTGCCGCCACCATTTGTTCTGGCTGTTTCATTTTAAAAAGAACAGACTCAAACTGTTGGACAGCTGCAATTTTAAAAGAAATATTGCTTACTATACCATCTTAAAAAAAGTCATTGTTTCAAGCGTTGCCTTTTTAAAGCAATAGGGAAGAGTAAAAATCATACTAGAACTTCTGCGTCCTGATCATAGGTTCATGTAATGCAGGATCAAAGTAACACCACTAAAATTGTATGTCTATATGATCTAATGTACAATAACCTGTTCTTAATTGTGTTTGTCACTGTCAGGTAGCTGTTGGTCTCATCATGCATGAATATCCTATCTGAAGGTTAGACAGTTAAACCCTTTGTGAACAACTGGAGATTGGCAGATCCTCCTTGTCTGTAGCTTCCCGGTAAATACCACCTTCTCACCAGAGAAAATAACAAATGACTTGAGTGGGGAATCAGACACTTAGTTCCATGGTGTCAGTTTTTGGTTTACCTCTGTCTATTTTAGCTTTTCTTTGACCATCGAGAGGTACGAGGGAAGAGTAAGACTTCAGCTGTTATCAGGATGCTCACAGCCGTCTGTTTCCTTTGTTCTGAAAGTTCATAATGAAGAATTTGTAGTTGGCTAATAACTTTTTGGTTTGACATGAATTAGCTAAAATGGAATGGATGCTGGGGTGATGATATCAGCAGAAGTGTATGTGATCTGGAGTAAGTGAAAGAATTGGTGGAGACCGTGTCCTGGAATTTGGCCTTTGTTCTAGGGTTTTTTCTGCAATATGGGAGTTGTCTTTGTCTTTCTGTCTCTGGATTTTCTTGAAAATTAAGCCTCATTTTTGTAGCATTGCAATTCAGTTGCAATTTGTTGTAGCCAATCTGGAATTACTGCAGTTTGTTCTCATGTGGGTTCCCTTGAAGTGGATCTGGTGGCAGACTAGATCTACCTTTTTGTTCTGTGAATAGAGAAGTTATTTAAGATGCTCCTCTTCTGTGATGGGCACAGATTGCTTTTAACTTCGTAGAGTAAGTTCTGGCTGTAATTTTGTCGCTCATGAAGTCCTTATACTTGAGTTGTTGTCTCTTACCATCTTCTTAAAACAACAATTTCTACCTCCACTTCTGTTTTGGATTGTTTGGGGTTTTTTGTTTTGTTTTTGTTTTTTTTTAATTCCCCCACCTTTTTCCTGAAGTATGAGATCCCAGATGTTTGTAAAAGCATTATGAGTTGATAGTGAGTTAATAAAATAAGTCAACATAGCAATGAGCAGACATGTTATCTGTTGATGCCCTAGCGTTAGAGACATCTTCTGAATACTCTATAATAAACATACTGATTGTTACAGTGTAATCCCATTACTCATATGTTGGATGTGAACAAGTTGGTTTTGAGTCAGCAATGCACCTCTGCAGCAATTAAGGAATCTGATTAGGAAGAGCCTTCAGCAGGTCAAGGAAAGCGATTAGTCCCCTCTTGATGATTTGTGGGACCACACCTGGAGTACTGTGTGCAGTGTCGGGCAGGAGTGAGCCCATCATAGGGCTGCTGAGATGAGAGGGTTGGAGCACATGTCATGTGGTGAGAGTTTGTGAGAGCTGGGTTTGTTCAGGCTGGCTCTGGGGGCATCTTATATTTTGTTCTTCAGTTATCTTGGTGGGAGGGTTTAGAGAAGACGGAGCCAGGCTCTTCTCAGAGGTGCATAGCAAAAAGGTGATGGGCTCAAAATTGCATTAAAGAAAATCCCGGATGAATATAAAGAGAAATATCTTCATACTCAGAGTGGTAGAACAGTGGCCCAGAAAGGCAGTGGGAACCCCATCCTTGGGGATATTCAAAACTCAACTGGACAAGGTTGGATTAGAGACCTCCAGAGGTCTCTTCTGACCTAAATTATTCTATGATCCTGTACAAACCTGCTCAGGTTGAGGTGTTTCCTAGTACTGATCTATACATGTTGACTTTTTTAATGAAATTCTCTTAATTGGTTGTTGGCTTTTTTTTTTTTTCCTGTTTTGCCATTCATAAAAAGTTATCTTTCCTATTCTCCTAATAGAGGGGAGCTTTGTTTGCAGGGTCTGGCTCCAGGTTCCAATCAAGCCATAAGTAATAAATTTGATTAATTATTTGCTCTGTTTACACAGTTCTTCAGGGATATTTGAATTATTCTGTTTGTTTCATTGCCTAACATCAGACTGGTAAGTTTTCCATGTTTTTGTAACATTTGTGCTGTAGATCAGTTTTTGCCTTCCTTTGTGAGCATTTATCGTTGTCTTGCTGCTGTGAGTGCAGGCAAAAAAATTCAGATAGCTGAACGTATTAGAGGAAAAATTGCAGTTAACTTGAGCCCACTGGTGACTACTGTGATAAGCTAGAAATTTTTGGTTCAGTAAATCATGAATTGGTGATTATCAGAAGCTGAAAGGGTATGACTAGGCTAGGAAAAAGAAAACCATACTTCACTGTATGGATTTTAGGTCTGATGTGGATGTTATTTGGAAGAGAAATCGCAATGATGTTTGTGAATATGGACTGGCATGGAATCAGGTAGACTCCCAAGTGTTAATTTCTGCCTTCAAGGTGCATAAGAATATGGAGATGAGTTCACCAAGATTTTGAATTCCGCTATGTGGTATAAAAGTTTTCCTTCAGAATGAGATGCTGCTTGCGAAGAAGTAAAATGGAAGCATCGTGCTGGCCTTCCCCCAGAGTAGTTGAGTCACCGAGACATGGTAGTTGTAACAGGGTTCCATAAGGAAACAGGTTTTACTTTTCATATAGGTA